TTCTGAGACAGAGTCTCGCTCTGCTGCCCAGGCTGGAGTGCAGTGGCCCGATCTCGGCTCACTGCAAGCTCTGCCTCCCGGGGTCATGCCATTCTCCTGCTTCAGCCTCCCGAGTAGCTGGGACTACAGGCGCCCACCACCATCCTCAGTTAATTTTTTGTATTTTTAGTAGAGACGGGGTTTCACCGTGTTAGCCAGGATGGTCTCGATCTCCTGACCTCGTGATCCCGCCTGCCTCGGCCTCCCAAAGTGCTGGGATTACAGGCGTGAGCCACTGCACCTGGCCAACACTGTACACATTTAACTAAATCATTACATAACCATATTAGAAGGACAGGGATGAGATGGTGTCACGTGTGGTGAGAGCTGGAAGTTGGGAGGAAATAGGAACTGAACCATCCTCTTTCATAGTGGGAAGTCACTAGAAAATGTCTGAAACTGAAAGAAAAAGAGATCAAGAAGCAGCAATGCCAGTGTGTTAGAGACCTGGGGGCAAACAACAAATAATTTGGGCAGAATAAGTAAAATGATTGCCTCTGTGGAGGGTTAAATAGGGTGAGATGGGGCAGGTACCTTCTGGGTTTTATATCCAGTCTTTTCTGTGTTTCACTCTTTATGGGCTTGCCTATCTTTGAAAGAAATAACAAGTTCTTTAAAAAATAATCATAAATATGATCCTCCCTTTCAGTTGATGGCCTTTGGCTTGGGCTTTCTAGTAAGAAACCAAACTTGAATATTTACAAGGTATTGGACCTAACTCTAAATCACGATGCTCATGACCAAGGCTGCTGTTGACTGACTGCTTACTATGTGCCAGGCACACAGGACTTTAACTCATTCATTCTGAAAACAACTCAGGAAGAGAAGTAAGACACACACAGAAAAACTCAGGCTCAGAAGAATAAAATGACTTGCTGAAGCTGGGATTTGAACCCAGGGCTGTTGACGACAAAGCCTGCCTTTTTTTTTCTTTTTTTCTTTCTTTCTTTATTTTTTTTTGAGACAGAGTCTCACTCTATCACCCAGGCTGGAGTGCACTGGCTGGATCTCAGCTCACTGAGATCTCCTGCCTCAGCCTCCCGAATAGCTGGGACTACAGGCGCCCGCCACCACGCCCAGCTAGTTTTGTATTTTTTTAGTAGAGACGGGGTTTCACCGTGTTAGCCAGGATGGTCTCGATCTCCTGCCTTCGTGATCCGCCCGTCTCGGCCTCTCAAAGTGCTGGGATTACAGGCTTGAGCCACCGCGCCCGGCCTTTTCTTTTTGTCTTTTTTTTTTTGGGAGACAGAGACTCACTCTGTCGCCCAGGCTGGAGTGCAGTCGCATGATCTCGGCTCACTGCAAGCTCTGCTTCCCGGGTTCACCCCATTCTCCTGCCTCAGCCTCCCGAGTAGCTGGGACTACAGGTGCCCACCACCACGCCCAGCTAATTTTTTGTATTTTTAGTGGAGATGGGGTTTCACTGTGTTCGTCAGGATGGTCTCAATCTCCTGACCTCGTGATCCGCCCATCTCAGCCTCCCAAAGTGCTGGGATTACAGGCGTGAGCCACCGTGCCCAGCCCCCGTTTTAAAATACTGTATTATCTTCTCTCCCAAATGGGTTTCTACAGTGAATCCTCCATGATGGAAAAAATGCAACGAACCAGAGGTCTGACTCTGGGGTCATTCTGGATAACGGGCTTGTAGAACATCTCACCCTCCTGTAGCTGGAAAAAAGGAAATGGAACGGAGGGTCCTGGTGACTTACAGAGTAGGTGACGCCGCTTGAAGACACAGGGGACACCTCGTTGGTAGAAGTAGTCACAGCCAGAGAAGCCAGGGCAGGGAAGAGACTTTCCATCTCAGGCTCCTCCGAAAGGTTGTCCTCGCTGTCTGCCTGGCCACGTTTCTCTGCCTCGCTGCTCCTCCAGCCCTCCATCACGACATCGTCCTTTTCAGGCAGGGCCACGTCCAGGCTGCCCGTGATGGACATGAACTCGTCCATGCTCTCGTTGGCCAGGAGGTCGCTCTCCAGGCTGTCCTGCACGGCCAGCTCCTCCCGGGGAGCCTCATCCTGGGATGTGGTGGCCTCGCTGCTCTGCCTGTCATCCACGCTGCCATCCCGAGGTCGCAGCACCGGGGGAGTGTTCCGATGGGCATCCAAGACACTGTCTTCTGTGCTCAGACTGGGCTCCGAGTGCTCTGAGAGGCCCGAGGAGAAGTTATGGGAGGAAGGATGACCCGAGTCTGGGGAACAAGTGCCATTCACTAGGTTCCCATTGGGGATCTTGGGCTGTTTCTCCTCCGATCTGCCTTCAGCCTCCACCTGCTCTACCTCATCCACGGACTCAAACACCTGAGGACAAGGTGCACAAAAACAGATGGACCAGCATGTCCACTGCAGCACTACTTACAGCAGCAGCCTAAATATCCAACTACAGGTGATCGGCTTAAATATGGATCAAGCATGCACTGGAATACCATACAGTCAGTGAAAAGAGTGAGGCAAAGTAAAGTGTAATGTATGCTCCTATTTGTGACGAATAAGAAAGTGGTCTAGGCTGGGCATGGTGGCTCACGCCTGCAATCCCAGCACTTTGGGAGGCCGAGGCAGGCAGACTGCTTGAACCCAGGAGTTCGACACCAGCCTGGGCAACATGGTGAAACCCGGTCTCTGCAAAAAATACAAAAAATTAGCCTGGTATGGTGGTGCACACCTGTGGTCTCAGCTACTTGGGGGGCTGAGGTGGGAGAATCACCTGAGCCCGGTGAGTCCAGGCTTCAGTGAGCTGTGATCATGCCACTGCACTCCAGCCTGGGTGATGGGAGTGAGGCCCTGTCTCAAACAACAATAAAAACGTATTCTATGCATAGAATAACCCAGAAAGAAACAAGAAAGTAATGCAGTTGACTCTGTTTGGTTTTGTTTTTTGAGATGGAGTTTCTCTCTTGTCGCCCAGGCTAGAGCGCAGTGGCACAATCTCAACTCACTGCAACCTTCGCCTCCCCGGTTCAAGCGATTCTCCTGCCTCAGCCTCCCAAGTAGCTGGGATTACAGGTGCCCACCACCACACCTGGCTGATTTTTGTATTTTTAGTAGAGACGGGCTTTCACCATGTTGGCCAGGCTGGGCTCGAACTCCTGACCTCAGATGATCCGCCCACCTTGGCCTCCCAAAGTGTTGGCATTACAGGTGTGAGCCACCGTGCCCCGCCTGCAGTTGACTCTGAGAAGGGGATACTGGGGAATCAAAATAAGGTGAGACAATAGCTTTTCGTCATATAGACTTTTACCATGTGTACATAATTTTATTTTTATGTATGTATGTATTTATTTAAGATGGGAGTCTCGCTCTGTTGCCCAGGCTGGATGGAGTGAAGTGGCATGATCTTGGCTTACTGCAACCTCTGCCTCCTGGGTTCAAGTGATTCTCCTGCTCAGCCTCCCAAGTAGCCGGGATTACAGGCAAGTGCCACCATGCCCAGCTAGTTTTTGTATTTTTAGTAGAGTCAGGGTTTCACCATGTTGGCCAGGCTGGTCTCGAACTGCTGATCTCAGGTTATTCACCTGCCTCAGCCTCCCAAAGTGCTGGGATTACAGGTGTGAGCCACCACGCCCAGCCTCATGTACACATAATTCTTCTCATTCAAAAAATTAGTTAACACACGGAAAGGCAAAACAAAACAAAACAAAACAAAAACAAAAAAAGAAACAAAAAAAAACCCTATTACTTTTACACCATGCGGTTGACTACTATGAATCAATTTTTAAAGTTAGATAATACATGAAATACTATGAAAAAAATCTCCAGAATACATTTTAGAGATTTTTTTGTGATTCTTTGTGTCCTTAGGTCATATCAAGGGTACGCAGTTAAAGATCATGTTCCAAAGTCATTTGAAATATTTCTTCCCTGCGTGTTTATGTCACCAACTTGATCTATGGTTAGCTTCATGTGCTTCTGTGTTTTCAAAAACCTCTTTTTGATTCAATTGATTTAAATTATGTAAAAAATTTACCTAGCTTCAGAGCCAGAACCAGGGGTTTTTTTTTACTCCAAAATCAAAATTAGGAAATAAGGCATATTCAAGGAAATGTAGCTTCTGTCTCTGCCCCCTCCTTTCTTGGTAACCATTCTGATTCGTTTCTGGTTTCTCCTTACACTGTTCTCCAAAATGGAGGCAAATATATACAGACATTAATATTGCCTTTTCTTACGTAAAAGGTGACAACACACTATGCATGTTTTAGCACTTGGCTTTGTGTGTGCATGTGTGTGAGACAGGATCTCACTCTGTCGCGCAGGCTGGGGTGCAGTGGCGTGATCATGGCTCACTGCAGCCTCAACCTCCTAGGCCCTGGTGATTCTCCCAGCTTAGCCTCCAGAGTAGCTGGGACTACAGGCATGCACCACCATGCCCAACTAATTTTTTTTTGTATTTTTTGTATTTTTGCAGAGACAGGGTTTGCCATGTTGCCCAGACTGGTCTTGAGCTCCTGGGCTTAAGGTATCTGCCTATCCTGGCCTCCCAAAGTGCTGGGATTGCAAGTGTGAACTACCGTGCCCAGCCAGCATTTTTCTTTAAAAACGGAGTGAGATTGAGTCATCTCTTTTCACTGACTGAAATGGAAAGTTGTTGAACAACATATATGATGGCACTTAAGTACACTTTTTTTTAAAAACTATCAAACATTGCTATAGATTATCTACATATTTCTGTGTATGTACAGGCGTGCAGAAGGTTTTGAAAGGAACACAGCAAACTGATGATAGCGGTGTTATTTCAAAGGAGGGCAGGCAGAGATTAAGGATGATCAAAGCAGACTTTGACTTTCTCTGCAATGTTTTAGTTTTTTGCAGGGGTGATAGATCCATATATTTCTTGCATTACTAAAACAAAAAACAAAAAAAACCCAATGTTTAATGCTAATATAAAAAGCTAAAACAAATAAAGCAAAAAGTGATCTACAGATGACGGACACCCAATCCCCATGACCCCAGGCGGAAGGGAGAGGCCTGGGTGGGAAGGGGCGGGGCCTCCACAAGGTCACCTGTGTGCTGCTGCTGGAGTCGCTGTGCAGGCGGATGTTCTGGTGGCCCGAACTACAGCTCTGGGAGGACTGAGAGAAGAAAGAGCGAGATGGAGGGAGGGTGAGGCTGCACCCTTGCCCAGAGTAGGAAGGACTGCTGGGTTGGGAGCCCAGGAAGTCTTGTTTCATCTCTATTCCTAACTTGCACAAGTCCTCCCTCAGAGCATCAGTTTCCTAGCTGTGGAATGAAAGGAGGGGACCACTCCCTGCTTCCTGGAGCCTCTTCAGAGACCACTTTGACCTCTAGGTTCCCACCTCTCACCTCTGCAACTACAGCACCCCGCCTTTAACTGCTCTGTAACTGAGACTTCTTGCTAATATTTCAGTTCAACGCACAGAGTAACTGGTTCTATTAATGGTTCCACTTTTTTTTTTTAACCTGATCCCTGTATACATGCTTCTGCCCTATAAACTCATAGTCCTTGCCTACTCTAACACTAGACGTGGCCGTGTTGCTTGCTTTTGTCAATGGGATGTTAACACACTTGATTCAGGAGAGGCTTAGAACACCCTTGTGCATTTCTACTTTCTCTCTGCGGCATCTGCTTTTACCGTGAGAGCATGTCCAGGTTCATTTGCTGGGCAGTGGGGCACGTGGAGCACAGCTGAGTCACCCCAGACAAATAAGAGAGCCCAACCAAGATAAACAAATGTTTTAGTTGACCAGCTATGGACAGCCAGTGCCGGAATAAGCCTCACCCAGCCCAGTGAAGAACAGACCTTCCCAGCTGACCCACAGAGTTGTGAGCAAAAATAAATGCTGACTGTTGGAAGTCACTGATTTTTGGTGGTTGTTTGTTACATGCTGTTATTATGGCAATTGATGACTGATACAATCACTGGTGAAGAGAATTAACTTTTTTTTTGAGAGGGAGTTTCACTCTCGTTGCCCAGGCTGGAGTGCAGTGACGCAATCTCCGCTCACTGCAACCTCCGCCTCCCGGGTTTAAGTGATTCTCCTGCCTTGGCCTCCCAAGTAGCTGGGATTACAGACGGCTGGCTAATATTTTTGTATTTTTAGCAGAGATGGGGTTTCACCATGTTGACCGAGGCTGGTCTCGAACTCCTGACCTCAGGTGATCCACCTGCCTTGGCCTCCCAAAGTACTGGGATTACAGGAGTGAGCCACCACCCCTAGCCAAGAATTAACTTTTTTTCTGAGCTCCTACTTTGGGCTATTAAACTGGAGGTTCTGGCAGTCTGTCTGTGTCACTGGAACATTCCTGATATCCCAGGATATTCCTGATAGTACCTGTACATAGTAGATACTCAATAAGCATTTGTTGAATCAATGAAAGTCAGGCAGTGTACCAGGCACTTTATATACATCATCTTGTCTGGACTCTACACAAACCTCCTCTACACCTGATTATTCCCATTTTACAGATGCAGAAAACTGAGGCCCAGAAGAAAAGTTACTGGTAGGAAGCCCCAGAACTACAAAATGGTGGGACTAGAGTTTGAACTCAGGTTTGATTCCAAAGTCACCCCACACTCTTAAAGAAAAAGCCAGGGGTGAGACTGTCACCAGGCCCCAGATACCCAGCCTTCACCACTCTTAGAACAGCCCAGTGAGGCAGACCCTGACCGTCCCCAGTGCCCACGCTCCCCGAGGCCAGCCGCCCATCACCTCGTTGCTGATGGTTGAGTCCCTGTGCAACATCCGGTGCAGGTGGCTGTCCAGGCTGGCCCCAGATGAGCATTTGGCCAGGGCAGCCGCATGGGACTCCCGCTCCCTCTGCCGCACGATCGCCTCGCAGCCCAGCCACTCGGCCATGGTCTGTGCGTAGCAGGCATGAATCTGCTCGTCCACCTGCCAGGGCAGATGCAATGTCACCTGAGGTGTCAACAAAGGGGCCCATGGGGAGGGCCAGAGGAACCTGGAAGAGAGTGGCTCTGACCCATCCAACATTCACGCAGTTAACATCCAGCACATATTAACTGAGCACCTACTATGCTACTCCTAGCACTGGTTAGGCTCTGAAGACACAGAGGGAGCAAGGCTACTTCTTTCTTTATTTCCCTCCTTCCTTTATTCATTCATGCACACATATATACATTTCAACTACTGAGTCCCTACTATGTGCTAGACAGTACACAGGCCCTGGGGATATAAAAGTGAGAAGACTGTTGCCTTTTTTCTTTCTTTTTTTTTTTGAGAAAGAGTATTGCTCTGTCACCAGGCTGGAGCGCAGTGGCGCGATCTCGACTCACTGCAGCCTCCCAGATTCAAGGGATTTTCCTGCCTCAGCCTCCCACGTAGCTGGGACTACAGGCATGTGCCACCACGCCCAGCTAACTTTTGTATTTTTTTTTTTTTAGTAGAGACGGGGTTTCACCATGTTGGCCAGGATGGTCTTGACCTCTTGACCTTGTGATTCGCCCCCTCAGCCTCCCAAAGTGCTGGGATTACAGGTGTGAGCCACCGCGCCTGGCCAAAAGTGAGAAGACTGTTTCATTCTTTTTTACTGCCTTCCCTCTCTCTTTCCTCATTCATTCATCTATTCATTCACTCATTCATTTAATTTGATAAGGACCTATTACATGCCAGGCACCACTAGCCATATGGAATACAAGATGAGCAAGATGCTGACCTTCCTCCACCCATCCACTCAATCAACACATGACCTGAGGGGCTTCCATGTGCCTCACATGGGCTACAGGTGCTGAGGATACAATACGAATAAAACCAACCCTCTTCTTTTCCTTACAGCAATGGCCTTACAGAACAGCCACAGATTTCCAGCTTTTTCCTTGTGGGATTCAACCAAGACGTGGGGAGCTTCCCCTGTCCCTGAGTGACACAGCCCAGGTAACAGGCTCTGCGTCTGCCAGACCTCTGGGCACCATGGGGACAGACAGGCTGATCTTGGTAAGGAGAGGCAGGAGGGGAAAAGAGAGGGTGGGGAGCTCGACCCTCTCCTATGGTTACTCAGGACTTCGGGAGGCGGACTCAGGGTCCATCCTGCCCCAGGGCCTCGCCTAAGCCGCTCCCTCCTGCCCACCTCCCTGAGACTCCTCCAAGCCCTACCCACCTCCCAATTCCCACTGCCATCCTAGGCCAGAGTTACACCACTTTCACCTAGATGCATGGCCCCAGCAGCCTCCACCCAGGTCTCTGTTGCAGCCGGGCCCCTCCGATCCATGCACCACTTAGCAGTCGTGATCCTTGTTTCCTCTCCAGCCTCCCCTCTCACTGCTGCCTCCACCATCCTAGTCCTGGATGTCTCAGCAACTCACGCCCACCATGCCCTTCCTGCCCCTCTCTAAACCCACGTGGACACACACCACGTCACGCTGGTCTCCCCTCCAGACCTCTGCCTGTGCTGTCTTCTCTTCCCTTCTTCACCCTCTTGGCCTGAAAAGTAATTCCTTCTGATAATATAGAAACAACCAGCTCCTCCAGGAGTCTCCTCTGACCGCCTTCCCACCTGCCCGGCTTAGGTGCTTCCCATGTGCTCCTGCAGTCCTTGGGGCTGCCTCAATCCCACCAGGGACCACCACAACCCCCACAAAACTGGGATGGACCTCACCTAATGTGCTTCTGTGTCCTCCAGCTCTGAGCATGGGGCTCTGCACATCAGAGTTGTCAGTTACTGACTGCCCAGGAAGCCATCAGGCATGGGTGAAGTGTGGAGGGGCCTCACACCAGTACTGAGATGAACAGACATTTCACTGGCATGGGTCCTTATAATACAGAACTACAGAAACTTTCTGCTTTCAACTCTCCTTCAACTTTTCTGATTACTCCAGGGAGAAAGGGCCAGTCTGGTGCTCCTGTGCTTCCCACACTTCTCGATACTTTATAATCTCCCCTCCATTCTTTATTTATTTATTTTTTTAAGATAGGTCTTACTTTGTCACCCAGGCTGAAGTGCAGTGGTGCAATCATAGCTCACTGCAGCCTCCAACTCTTGGGCTCAAGCAATCCTCCCATCTCAGCCTCCTGAGTAGCTAGGACTATAAGCACATGCTACCACGCCCCGCTAGTTTTTAAATTTTTTGTAGAGATGGGGGTCACGCTATTGTGCTCAGGCTGGTCTTGAACTCCTGGCCTCAAGCAATCCTCTTGCCTTGGCCTCCCAAACATAATCTCCCTTTTTAACAAAGAGAGGGCAAGCCTTAGGCAGGCTATAACATCTACTTAGAACAGAATTGCACCATTTAGTCTTACTCTATTTTTATAGTTTCCTTCTATTCACAGCCAGTTATACTGGCTTCCTGTTTATGGCAGGGATATAAAATATCTTTTAAACTAAGTTGTATAAATCTTAAATGAGTCAATTTAAAGACAAATTTAAGTAAATAATAGTACAAGTGATACAAGAATATAGAGTGTAAAATACCACCAGATTTTAGGTTGGGTGCAGTTGGCTCACGCCTGTAATCCCAGCACTTTGGGAGTCCGAGGTGGGTGGATCACAAGGTCAGGAGTTCAAGACCAGCCTGGCCAACCTAGGGAAACCCCACCTCTACTAAAAATACAAAAAAAAAAAATCTAGCCGGGCGTGGTGGCAGGCGCCTGTAGTACCAGCTTCTTGGGAGGCTGAGGCAGGAGAATTGCTTGAACCCAGGAGATGGAGGTTGCAGTGAGCTGAGATTGCACCACTGCACTCCAACCTGGGCAACAGAGCGAGACTCCGTCTCAAAAAAAAAAAAAAAATACACAAGCAGATGCAAAATCTGGTGAAATTCTAGTAAGGCCTGTAGTCTAGCTACTTGTATTGTGTCAGTGTTAACGCTCTGCTTTTGACAGTGTACTTTAGCTACATAAACTGCTACCACTGGGGAAAGCTGGGTGATGGGTACCTGGGACCTGTTACTATTTTTGCAGCTTCTTGTGAACTTATAATTACAGATGCTTCTCGACTTATGATGGAGTTATGTCCCAATAAATGCATCATAAGTTGAAAATATCAAGTCAAAAATCCATTTAAGGCCAGGCGCGGTGGCTCATGCCTGTAATTCCAGCATTTTGGGAGGCCGAGGCAGGCGGATAACGAGGTCAGCAGTTCGGGACCAGCCTGGCCAACATGGTGAAACCCCGTCTCTCCTAAAAATACAAAAATTAGCTGGGCGTGGTGGTGGGCACCTGTAATCCCAGCTACTTGGTAGGCTGAGGCAGGACAATCACTTGAACCCAGGAGGTGGAGGTTGCAGTGAACCAAGATTGCGCCACTGCACT